CAAACAAAACCTGAAAATGAACCAAAGTGAAAGGATACCTTCCAGGCAGTATCTTTCTGTGACAACCTGTTATTTAAGAGAATACTAGTGATTTGTTCTAAATAGGATGGAAAACTTGTTCCAAATTACTTTTCTTCAGTCCTGTCTGCCAAGAACTTAAATGTAACTGTGATATAGCAGCCCTTCCTAGATGTATTGGCAGGTATATGTGTGACCGCAGAAAACACAGGTGGCGCAGACATGATATGACAACTAAATGGTGGATTCATTTACATTGTTTACACTTCTATGACCAGGCCTTAAGGGAAGGTCAGTTTTTTAAAAAACCAAGTAGTGTCTTCCTACCTACGTACATATACATGTCAAAAAAGAAGGGTGTTTGTGCTTCAGCTTTGTTTTTGCTCAGTAATCCAGTCAAGCAAGAGTTTGTTTCCAAGTGACCTGTTGAGCTGTGTAAGCATTTTTGTTTATTTCAAATAAAATATATTTGTATTATTTGTTATTCATACTATCCATCCATTCCACACTATCCTCTGTATCAGGTAGTGCAATAGAAATATACCTGTTTTGTTCTTAAATGGTCTCAGTCTCTTTTTTGATCCATCCCTTCAGCCTTCTGTGTTTGAAGAGAATGTTCAGGGTTTCCGAAGTCAGTTCCGACCTTCAACTATTCTAGATACAGTGAATATACAAAGACTTGCAAAGAACAGGTCTTTGTTTGAGCAATGTCTCTATGGATCATACTGCTCTTCACTGAGACTACCAATGGCTTTGAGTTTCCATTTCTGTCAAACAGAAAATTCTAGTTAACTTTTCTACCTATCACTCAGCAGGGATCCAGTATGGTTGCAGTCACATTAAGCAGGAAATAGAATGGAAGGAATCCCTATGCCTCCAACTTGGGTAATAGTTCACATTGACAACTTCGAGTTCACAACTCAAAGTGCTGCTTTCCTTCCGTACAAGTCTGACCTAGCTATAGACACGTGGGAAAGGCTTTTATCCTGGTCTCCAACCAAGAGCAGAGGAACTTCAGTACTTCACCCTCACCCAAGGCCAGTTCAAATTTCCCCCCTTTTGAGGGACATTTAACTGGACTATACTCTTGTAGTGCAGATTCAAACATCCTGGCCTTTGCCTCTAACATTAATTTAGCATGCCCCCAGGCTATCCCATGGATTTCCTTAGCCCCTACATACCTGTGTAAGAACTCAATCTCTTGGCCATTGAAGCCCTTGGTTACTTGTATAATTGGAAGTCAACCCTCCTTGCCAACTTCTACAGAGATCTGACTTCCTCAACCTCCTTCGGCAGAATATTTGCTTGAATTATGTCTATTTTATCATATGCTGCTGAAATCAGCCTGTGGCATCCCAGCCGGATGAAAAGGAGTTTTCTGTGAGGCCTCACTCCTGTATTTGGATTTGAAATTACACTGCTGAAAACTTCCGTTTGAGCCTGGGTGGCTGTGCTGTAAGTTGCCTGGTTCTAGTAGCTGTTTGAGGCTGGACTCATCTAGGTTCATGAGATACTTGGCGCATTGTCTCCAAACTCCCAAAAGACTGATAGATATCTGAATGCCAATTTATGATTTTGTAATTTTATATAGAACTACCAAGCTACCTACTACATGGGAAATGAAAGAAAGATTGGTAAATACAAAATAAAACAATGGTCGTCCATTAAGATAAATTGAGCTAACTAAAATTCTCCCTTGAACAGACAGGATATACCTAAAAAGAGGGGCAGAAACATAAGCCACCTGACAGCAGAAACCAATCTCACACTTCAAATTCTGTGTCTAAAAGCATCTGCGAGCTTCTGGACACATTTCTGTCAACTGTTTCTGATCAACAGATAATCTTGTTTTATGTTTCTATTTAAATCACCTTATTTAGCATACATTATTTAGTCATTGGTGTTGAACTCATGGCCAACAGCACTATAATTCATGCCTGAGTTTATATAAAGGAATTTTCTCTGTAGGGCACATCACAGCCTTAATGCTTAGAAACACTACACAGCAAACACTTCAGGACCAGGCAGGCTTAGGGGCCATTTTAAGCAAATCAACAAAAAAGACAAAAATGCAAAAATGTGACCATGAAATAGATCACGTAAAGGACATTTGTTTATAATATGAGCTGAAACAGAGAAAATCACCTGTTCCACATCAGCTGGGAACAGGCACACTGGGCAACTCTTTTTTTTTTTTTGCTGCTCTGGACGGGTCCATGAATGACTGCAGAAGTACTGCAGGTATTGATTTTGAGGTTACAAATAAGATTTAGTGAGTAGGTGAATTTGTAAATACAGGATTCACAAATAACAGGGATCAACCTGTGCCTGCCACAGCCTCTCCTTTGATCTATGGTAGACTAATACAGCATTTCAGTTTAAGGGCTGTTTCTAGTTGCTCTGGGACTGCAGTCTAGTTGGGATACATAAAGTTAGAGAACATTCAAATGCTGAATTGTGGAACCCACGTTAACTATGGAGCAATGAGAAAATACAAAGCTTTAAATCCTGAAAGTAATCTTGTGAAGCTATAGGTTTATTCCTGGAACACTGTTATAGCACAGTAAAAGCTAGGGAAATTCCAGGACAAGTGGGAGTTTGTAGCCACCTAGTAAATCCTATCTTCCCTAAACCAAGGACACTTAAGAGTGAATGGTTTGTACTTCTCCCAAACCAGAGGATAAATAGCTTACATCATCCTACACAGGGAAATAGATAACAGAAATCCAATGTGTGCCATTTGCCAACCACACCCAAGAACAAATTAAGAGAATGGGTACATCGGCATAAATGTGATGAATAGTCTATTGATCCACCCCTGAAACCTCCCCTAAACACCCAGCCTTTACAGCCCCTGAAAATGAAGGTCCCAATGCATCCTCCCTCCAAAGAGCATGCCCTTGCCAGTCCCCCCTTTTCTTCCCCCATTTCCTGCACAGGCATGTATCCCCCTAACCTCTAAGGGGACTTGCAACCAGGGGAGCAATGGGCAGCGACAGTTTGTCCCAAGCTAACCCCTTTTCTCTGACTTCCCAGTGAGCCAAGGCAGCCAGCCTAGATGTCCTGTTGCTGCTTCTATGCCCTTCCTTGTTTCTTTGTCCTAAGTGTATTTTTGCTGCAGTCAATAAATTCTTGCTTGCATTTCTACACTTTTGTCTCTTGATTGGAATCTTTCCCTCAAGAAGACAAGAACCAAGGACCAAGGTCTCTGTCTCTTCATGTCACCCATAACATCACTGGCCAAAGTTAACTTTCAGATGGCTTATTAGTATGCTATTTGGACCCACACTAAAATCAATATTATTGCGTTAAAGTCGGCTTCTTATAAGTGCAGAAGGATTTGGGGAAGGCTTCAAGTGAGTGACTGAGACCTGAGCTGGATGTGAAAGGTGGAAAGGAAGACCATTCTAGGCATCTATCTAGCCAACATGTTTGAAAATAGTTACAACTGCCTGTGAAGCATATTTTTCTAGATGAAACTGGTTTAGAGAGGTTTCGTTATAAGCAAAGCCACATACCACCACATTTTTACCTGTTTTTACTGTACTATGGCTGTTTGTGTATGTTTTGAAGACATCCAGGAAACAGGCCTAACCAGAGAGAGGAAGGAGGTTATATAAGGGAGAGTAATGGGGACATCACCAATTTGCTGAACAAAATGCAGCCAGACAGTGACAATGGGTAAGACAGACGGTAGGTTTTTGAAATGGTAACAAAGCACTTCAGAGGAGTCACTCCGTTACTCTCAGGCCTCACCAGGTAATTGGGGGATTAAAAGGTAATATCCCTGGCTACTTTCCCAGTTTTTTCCTCTACTTTGAGTGATCAGTTTTTAAGACGTTTCCCCATCCCTGTAGCTTTGGTTCCCACTGACTTTGCATTTACTGTTGCTAAAGCCAGTTGTTCCTGGCTTTCGTGGGTTGTTGGCCTAAGGAAAAGGTACAAGGATATCCCAGCTGGAGTACAGCCTGGGGTCTGGACTCGCCTCACAGGATGTTAGACTGAGTGAGCGGCCTCCTACAGGGAATTACTCTGGAGAGCAACGCTACCTGTTACATTTGGAACCCCGCTGTATTAGTTTAAAATATTTTTCTACGACTTTCATTATCTTTGCCCCATTCTAGTATACGTTTTTGTCATGCTGGGAGATGCATAGATGCAAAGACTTGTTTTATGTCAATTGTGGTAGCCCCACCCCCTTTAGTTTATCTTAATAGTCTGTTTTCTGAAGCATGCTGGTCCTTCCCTGGCACTGATGCTGTAGCTATTAACTGTTTATTGCCTAACGCAGTCTCTTGCTCTCAAAAAACGAATACTTTGATGACTGGGGCAGCCCTTATATAATAGTAACAAAGAGCAATACAGGCTGGAGAGCAAGTAAAAGTCCAAGAAGTATGGCTCATGGGTAGGATCCCCGGCCTCTCCACGTAACGAAGCCTGTGTAGCAGAGAAAAAGTAGTGAGCTGTCTCGGCGGGGCCCCTTGTCCCTCCCTCCCACACGTACACACCTTTATCTCGGAGACACTGGGTCCCGTCCCTCCAACTTCCCTGGCTCTGACGCCTCGCGCCCTGAGCCTGCAAGCCCGAGGAGGGAAAATGGGGGAGGGGGGCGTGCCACTCGCTTCCCGACCGGTTTATGTCCCTGGCAGTCTGGGGGAGGTGCTGGGGGAGCTGCCCCAGGCCAGCTGCAGCCGACGCAGGTCACAGTCCCTGCCCTTTGCTCTCCGGCTTCTCACTGCACCCGCAGGCTCCGGGGGTGGGCGTGGGAGTGGCGCTCGCTCCGGCGCGGAGTCCTCCCGGCGGTGCGGGGGCCCCAGGCGGTAGCCGCGCTCCACGTCTGGCTGGGAGCCAGGGGAGGGAGCTTGGGGCAAGGGGAGGGCCCTGAGGGAGGGGTCAGACTCCTTCGGAAAGAGTTAATGGGGCGAGGGGGAGGGGATAGGACGGAGACTGGAGGGAAGGCTCAGGTAGGAGAACAGAGGAGGGAAGCCCGGTGGGGAGAAGGGACCCTGCGGGATCAAGAGTCAGACTTAGGGTGCTTCCCCCCCGCTGCACCCTCATCTAGGGTAGCCAACTTCCTGCCGCGGCGGCGACTTTCAGTTTCATTTCCACGGACCCTCGGCTTGGGCCGCAGCCGCCGCCGCGATGCCCAGTAAGTTCAGCTGCCGGCAGCTCCGGGAGACGGGCCAGGGCTTCGAGAATTTCCTGCTCGCTCAGGGACTGGACATGGAGACAGATCGCGAGCAGCTGCGGACCATTTATAACCAAAAGTTCAAGACCAGGTACGGGCCGGCCCACTCCCCGGCCCAGAGTCGCGGGCCCAGCTC